CCTTGCACAGTTTTAAGTATAATTCATTTTCTCCTGCCTCTCTGGCTTATTATATTTTATCTTGGTTTAATCTCTGTTTAAGTTGCAAATAGCAGAACAAATTGAGTTCTTTACCTTCTTTAAGAAGCATCTCTTTTGATTTTAGTTCCCAGCTTTTTGATGCTAGTCCCTTGACCATGCGCATGATATTCCATAATTACATGCCAAGGCTCTTTCCTTGCTCCAGTAGTCTGGGGTCAGAGAAAAAGGAGATCTCATCTTACAACGTTAGGAAGAAGCACTGTCCTGATTGGACCATGGGGGAATGATACTTCCCTACTGGCTAAGATCCTAAAATACTTCACTGGCAAAATTATGTGACTTAACCTTTATACTGAATAGCAATGTTGCATCTATGTTTTATGTGGATGTCTGTCAGGTCATGAACAAAAGCAACACATAGAGGTATATGTAAACTGCCTTGAGTCCCCCTTGGGGTAGAAAAAGGCGGGTATAAATAGGGTAATAAATAAATACATAAATAAATACATAAATTGTGCACTCACATCCTACTCTTTGTAATTTAATGTGGTGCCATATGTGTAATGGTACCACAACTCTATTTTTTTCATTATCAGCAGGATATGATTATTATGCTCTCTCCATCTCTTTGCATGTGCAGTGCAACTTATGCTTGCATGGATCACTAACAGATACTAGCCAATGTCTATGTGGCTATGCTTAGGCTTCGTGAAGTGATAGCAAGGAATGGATTTTTAAGTAACAAGTTAGAAAAAAAAGATGTGAATGCCATCTGTAAGTCACACCTGACTATCATATGGTTAGTCTGTCTCTCTGCTTCTTGCGATAGGATGTGCTATGGGGATATAAAGAACCCTTACTTAAGTCAATACTGTAACAGCTGACTGACAATGTGAAGCAGAGTGTGATGCTTGCCTGCCTGTGTCACGCGCAGGCATGTGCCCACAAACCAAAACACAGCTGGCAAGTCTAATTTTAGCCCTTACCCAGCCTTGAAAAGTGTCCCCTTCAAAAAAGAAAAGGAGAGATCCCCCATCCCAAAACAATTTGCTTGATAATATAGCAGCTGACAACAATCTCACTGGGGCATTGCGTGCGACTTAAATAAAAGCAAAAGGAAACATTGTCTTTTTTTGTTTTGTAAAGAATTCTCTGTGAGTAAGGTTGGAGACAGATCTGTTAATAGAGCAGCATAGTCAAGGAATCTGTATACACGCAAGATGTGTGTGTGCATATGTGTGTGTGCGTCTGTGTGTGTGTGTGTGTATATATATATATATTACAGCTTTCTCATTGATCAGAGATGTAATGTTAAAAACTACTGGTTTTTTTTAATGTCATTATTGGGCACATCTTATATTCTGCCTTCATCGCATTTAGCTCAACGTATTGCCTTTTGTATTTTATCTTTGTAACAACTTAGTCAGGATGAACAACATGTGACAGGTTGCAATTTTGTGTGGACACAGACTGCAACCTGCCTCCGTGGAGTTGAGTTTTTAGTGCATCTAATCCTCACACAAAATATATTCACTTTGACAGGATGGTTAATATTTTGAAGTAGTTAAGAGGAGATTCCAAATCCCAAGTTTTAAGCCAGAATGTTTAGAAAAGCATCCTGGGTGCAAAACCTGGGATGAGGTTCAGCACCTTGGATAGCTCCTTGACTAAAACCCAGGGCAAATGCGTCCTTCCACTGATATTGGCGTGCCAGCACTGCTGTAATGATACAAGAGTTAGTGGTCATGACTGATGGTGGTGATGTGCACCCTCCGGAATCAAAAGCATCATAACTTTTGAATCATGTTTGTTTCAGCTGATATGAATAACAGTTTATGTGGAACAACAAGAGAGGACTGTGGCCCTCATTATTGGTTGTCCATGGTCTGAAGTGGGGTAGGGATCCATCACACAGTATTCTAATTAATCCTGCCACAGTTGGGTAATATACATTACTGTGCAGAGAGACACATTGCCACCAACACTTTCTATTAGACCATGATCTCCAGTCTCAAATTGTCTGGCTGCTCCACTGTCCTTCCATGTGATGGTGGCTGAAATATATACAGGTGGTTATCTACAAGGTTCTTTTTTGGAATTGAAAGATTCTGGGAATTGTTCTCCTCCCATCTGAAATAACTTTTCCATGCTCTGGTTTTCTGTTATTTGTCAGTAATACCGATTCAAGAGGAACTTCCCCTGTCAAAGGCCACTTCAATATATGAAAAGAGCACAAGATCATCAGGGGTGCCATATTTTTTGCTCAATCCAAGGCTAGTAAAGGTAAAGGTTTTCTCTGACATAAAGTCTAGTCATGTCTGACTCTGGGAGGTGGTGCTCATTGTCCATAGACACCTCCAAGATCATGTGGCCAGCATGACTGCATGGTGCACTGTTACCTTCCTGCAGAAGCAGTACCTATTGATCTACTCACATTAATAACAACAACAACAACAACAACAACAACAATAATAATAATAATAATAATAACTTTATTTGTACCCCACTACCATCTCCCCAAGGGACTGGCTTACATAAGGCCAAGCCCACAACACATCAATAAACAAAAGCGAAAACAAATAATCAATACAAAACAGTTAAAATAAAACTCAAAAGCAAAAAAATACACAATAAGCAATAAACAATAACAATAACACACAGCATTTAAAAACCTATGGCCATTTGCATGTTTTCAAACTGCTAGATTGGCAGAAGCTGGGCCTAACAGTGGGAGCTCACCTCACTCCCTAGATTCGAACTGCCAACCTTTAAGTAGCAAGTTCAGCAGCTCAGCAGTTTAACCCACTGCACCACCAGGGGACCCAATCCAAGGCTCTGGTCCTATTAATCAGGAATAATTGAGTTTGACTGGGTGTCTGAGCAGATATGTAAAGGACTGTAAATCTCATGTCAAATCATGTCAGTTTTTAAAAATATGTTTGTATTTTTATCTATGTAATATATTGTATATATTTTATGTTCATGTGTTTTTGATTTTGTTGTACCTCGCCTTGCGCCATCAGAAGATGTAATAAATAAAATGAATTATTATTATTTCATCATGATCCTGTGTAAAAAACAGAATCACAACTAGTTTTCTGAGGAGCTTCTCCCACTCTGAATGGAACAATTCCAGTAGATGATGGAATTTGTGATCCAGGCTCCAGTGTGATGTGGTGGTTAAGTGTTGGATTAGGAGACCACGGTTTGAAGCTTTGATCAACCCACTAGGAGACCTTGGGAAAGTCTCTCCTCTTCTAATCCAGGCATGGGAGAACTTCAGCCATCCAGGTGTTTTGAACTTCAACTCCCACAATTCCTAACAGCCTGTCAGGAATTGTGGGAGTTGAAGTCCAAAACACCTGGAGAGCTGAAGTTTGCACATGCCTGGATTAGAAGAGGAGAGACTTTCCCAAGGTCTCCTAGTGGGTTGATCAAAGCTTCAAACCGTGGTCTCCTAATCCAACACTTAACCACTCTTCTAACCTCTTCTGAACAAATCCTGACCAGAAACTCCTTTGAGAAGAACCCTCATGAATGGGAGTGGACTTGATGGTGCCTGAGCAACATCTTCAGAAAGACACCAAGGGGAAGCTGCTCCTGGCATTGGCATTTGCCTGAGAATCATGGCTGACTTTCCAAGAAGAAGAAGAGGAGGAAGAGACGGAAGAAGAAGAGGAGGAGGAGGAAGAAGAAGAAGAGGAAGAGGAGGAGGAGAAGGAAGAGGAGGAAGAGGAAGAAGAAAAGGAGGAAGATGAAGAAGAGGAAGAAGAGGAGGAGGAAGAAAAGGAGGAAGAGGAAGAGAAAGAAGAGGAGGAGGAGGAGGAGGAAGAGGTGGAAGAAGAAGAAAAGGTGGAAGAGGAGGAAGAAGAAGAGAAGGAAAAGGAGGAAGATGAGAGAGGAGGAAGAAGAGGAGGAGGAAGAAAAGGAGGAAGAGGGAGAAGATGAAGAGAAAGAAGAAGAGAAGTAGGAGGAGGAGGAGGAAGAGGTGGAAGAAGAAGAAAAGGAGGAAGAGGGAGAAGATGAAGAGAAAGAAGAAGAGAAGTAGGAGGAGGAGGAAGAGGAAGAAGAAGAGAAGGAAAAGGAGAGGGAAGATGAAGAAGAGGAGGAAGAAAAAGAGGAGGAGGAAGAAGAACAGGCTCGGAGCGTGTTCTGGGTTTTGGCTCAGGAACTCTCTGCTTCCCAAGGACGCCTTTCGGAGAGGCTGCCAAGACTCCATTTCCATGCGGGAAAGTCCAAAGTCGTGTCCCAGAACCAAAAAAGGCGCGCAGAAGACGCCTTCTCCAAACGACTCACGGGGGGGGGGGGGGGGAAGAGGCAGTTCTGTGAGGGGAGCACAAAGAGGAAAAAAAATGTGAAGGCAGTGCCTTGTGTTTGGGTGCGTAAAGACGCGTGTACACACATCTCACATGTCGGGAGTTTCGTTCGCTTGACCTCCCGAGTCCAAAGTGTCCTCGCGCCTGGCTAGTTGCCCATTAGGCGCGAAGGCTGTTTTTTTTTTTTTTGTGGTTTTGTTTTGCCCGGCTCGCTTCCTTGGCGCTCCCCCCCCCCCCCCCACCCCGCTCTCTTTTTTGTCTGCCTCTTGGCTGGTTAACTTTGAGGAGCCTCTGGAAGGGAGGCTAAGAGAGGCATTGGCAACGGCGGCGACGCCTTCCTTCCTTCTTTCTTTCTTTCCCTCCCTCGCTGGCTTTGCGAGCGGCGTCCACCACGTCGTGAGTCCGCCTTGGCCGGCTGAGGAGCCGGGGAAGCCAGGCAGGCGAGCGAGGAGGCAGCCCAGGCACCCCCTCCCGCTTTCCCTTTTGGCTTCCCCGTCCTTTTCTTCTCCTCCTTCTCTGAGGGAACACTGCAGCTTCCCGGACTGCGTCGTCTCCTCGAGGGAGAGGCTCTCTCTTTCTCTCTCTCTCACACACGCACAGTCTCTCTCTCTCTGCCAGGGTTAGGTCCACCCACTGAAGGAGGAGGAGGAGGAGGAGGGGGGGGGTTTGAATGAAAGGCGAGGCGAGCCCTGCCGACACCATGCCGCGCCGGGAGTAGCCCCGCGCCCGCCCAGACGCGCCTTTCCTCCCCTTTTTCCTCCCCTCACCCCTTTTTCTTTTCTTTCCCGTTTTGGTTTGCTTTGCTTTTTCCCCCTCCCTCCTCCTTTCCTCTTCCCCCCACCCCTTTGGGCTGAGGGGCGGAGGGGGAGACCGGCGTTGAGGGAAGAGCGGCGGCGATTCCGGAGTGAGCGCCCCCCCCTCCTGCTTTTCTGCTCCTTCCTCCAACAGGACGCCCCCCTCCCTTCTTCTTCTTCTTCTTCTTCTTCTTCACCCAGGCGCGAGGGAGGGGGGAAATCCCGCCGAGGAGGAGGAGGAGGAAAGGCAGAAGCACACCTCAAGATTCCAACAAACCCCAACACAAACCATACCTTTTGTTATATATAGATCTGTATTGAACAATCCTTAATTTCGTGGAACTGGGAGAAGAAGGCGAAGAAGTCGGGGAAAGAGTGGAGGACTCGCTTTCTCTCTCCATCAGTCCTGTCAGGAGACGTGGTTTCGGGGAAAGGCAAGGCAAGGAAGGAGGAAGGCAGGCAGGCCCGGGGGCAACATTGCTGCTGCTTCTGCTGCTTCTGCTTCTGCTGCTACTCCTCCCTGTCAACGAGTTTCCCCGCACCGGCGCTCCGGATTCCAGCTACATGGGCAAACGCTTGGAACAGCAACCAATGTACCCCCAGTACACTTATTACTACCCTCATTATCTCCAAACCAAGGTAGGTGCTGGGGCTTCCCAGGGCTGTCCAGCAGGGTCAATAGCAGACCATTAGGCACTTAGGAGTGATGAATAGGTTGACTGGCGTCAATTACAGGCGGGCTCTCTCTCTCTCTCTCTCTCTCTCTCTCTCTCTCTCTCTTCTTTGAATCCTCTCTCATCAAGGAGTGTAACTCCTCGCCAACACAAACAGCCAAAGGGGGAAGGGTGGGGGTGGGGGATGGAAATGGGCAAGGTCAGAATCAATCTGTCTTGTATTGTCCAAGGCTTTCATGGCTGGAATCACTGGGTTGTAGTTTTTTTCAGTCATATTCTAGAAGCATTCTCTCCTGACGTTTCGCCTGCATCTATGGCAAGCATCCTCAGAGGTTGTGAGACCTCTGAGGATGCTTGCCATAGATGCAGGCGAAACGTCAGGAGAGAATGCCTCTAGAACATGGCCCAAAAAAACCTACAACAACCCAGTTTGTCTTGTGCCTTCTGTACTGAAAACAGGGTGGGTGGCAATTGTATTTGACCATGCTCTTCCCGTCTTCAAGGGTGGGAAAGGGATTCAGATGGCATGTGTGTACATATACATATATACATGTGTGTGTATTTGCTGCTTTAATTGCAACGAAAGCGCGGTGCCCACATTGTGCTCCAGGATGGCGATCTGTCTGGACAGTGTCGCCATGCGGCTGGCTGGCAGATGAAGGGAGTTTGGAGGTGATGGGGTCTGTGGCATTTCAGACAAGAGGCGGTGGTGTGTGTGTGTGTGGGTAAACCGTTTTGAGGAGAGACCCAGTGGGCGCTCCCCAACTTTAATGTGACACATATGTGAGAGCTGCCAGGGTCAAAGGAGGTCAAGGAGATGACCTCATGGAAAGCCTTAGAGTTTAAGGCTGGCCTGCCGAGGCACTTTGAAACATTGTTCCTTATTGATTGCAGTGGGATTGCACACTGTTGCACACTCTGGAAAAAAGGTGTTCACTACTTTGGGGATGGGGAGGACAAGCAAGGCTTCTTTCTTGCATTGTATTGTATAGTGTGCCTGTATGTGTATGTTTAAATAACAAATCAGGCCTTTATCTGCTGCTAAGACTGAAGTGTAATGCACCACAATGAATTAAGTTGTGCCTTATGAATCCTTTTCCCAAACAGTTGCTCTTCTTTTCTTCTATTTACACTACTGAGGAACTTTCTTAAAACCAAGCTTTGTTGTCCTGTCCTGCCAACATGGTTGTTATTGTACTACACACATACAAACATATCTGTGGATATTATTACACACTTTAATTTCAGGATATTGTATTTTAGCATACATGGGATAGGGGTGGAAAGCACACTTTTCTACTCCTGTGTCTGATAAGTCATTTGAGATCTATCGTTGTGATGAGGCCACAATGGAATGGCACTTTTAATTTTGGGTGTGGCGTGATTGATACTGTTCTCTGTAACTAAGTTGACTTTCTTTGCTTGGGAAATTACTTTTCAGTTTGTATTTATCAGTAACTCTTCCATAACATAAATGAACTAGTTGTGGAAAACAGTAGCCTAGGCAGTTGATACTGAAATCCAGAGGACACAAGAACTTCTCTGTGCGACGAGTCTCCTTTCATTTATATTATGGGTAGCATTAATTTGTTTGGTATACTATACTGTGCAAGATGTCTTTGTGCTACATCAAAGCCTTTAAGCTTTTTGAACAATTGTTTTCACATTTCCCCCTTCTTCTTCTCAAGGTCGATTCAAATCGCATTTTACCTCTGTGGCCATTTAGTACATATTGCTGCTGCTTCAGCAGGAGCAGCCTGTAGCTAGCCTGGCTGCTATATTGCTTATATAGCTTTTAACTATTTGGAGGAAGAAGGTTAAGACACATGGCATTCCTCAAAACCTGGCAAGCCAAGGACATAAAGCGATTCATGGGGATTTTTTTAATAAGAGAGAACAATAGCCTGAAGTACCAGATGAGACACATTGGCCATTTCTGATTTTTACTCATGGGATTTAAATGATGCTAGTCTTGCTATTTAGAACTCCTTGCTTATACTTAGGAAAAGATGTTTTTGGGGAAATCCATTTTTGTGAATGAGTAAACAAAAAATCAATAGCCTTTTGCATGGGGACATCTTTTTGGTTTCTCTTAAACATATTTGAGTGGGCATTATTCCAAAACGAATGTTATTAAAATTGCAGTTTTAAAGGGAGAGGGAGGCTTTGTATGTATTATCACAAGCAGGACTTTTCCAATGATTAGTTTGAGAAATATAATTTTTAGAAATCAGTTTTTTAAAATTTTACTCCTGGATTTGAGTTCGAGAAGTACATTCACTATAAACACATGCATTGCTATATGCTGTTTAATGCTATAATGTAGAAATACATACAGAGAGCCCTAAGTTTTTCTTACTCCATGTATGTCAATGTTATCTCTCTCGCACAAGCACATATGTATGTGAAGAAAAATCTTCATGTTTTGTAGAAGATATACTTCTAGAGAATGCCCAATTTTGCATTCTGTTATTGAAGAGTTTAAAACACTGTATATAGGCAGCATCTTGATTTTGTTACCTTAAATTTTGGGGCTCAAAATTAAATCATCATTTCTGCCCAATTGACATTTTGGGTAACTAATTAACAATAAGGGCAGTCACCTATTTCTGTTTCAAAGCTCCTCAATAATATATTATCTAATGCAATTCCAGGAACATCACAATTCCTATCAAAATGACTTTAGTGAAGTAGGGCACTGATATAAACTCCCATTTTATAAATAGATAATTCAATGGCAGTTCATTTATTAGAAATTACATTGACTTATTGCAGGTGATAACGTGCAACACATGAAATACTCATAATACAACAGATCTTTAATATTCTCTTTATATTGCTCTTTTGGCTACACACTTTTAATATATTTAAGCTATTTTTAAAAGTATGATAACAAACTCTTCAGATGGCATTTTAACTTCAGCATTTGCTAAAAAAAATCAGGCTCTTTTTATATATTTATCTCATTGTTACATGATGGATCACCTAGACATCCTAGATCTTCTGTTGAATACGAAATGTATGTTGTTTGAATTGAGCACTCAGAATATAAAAATGTTTTAAAACTTACAATTTGAGAAAAGTGATGAAAAGAACCAGCCCTCTGTGTATTTTTAGCAAGGCAATGAAAACATCATTCTAGTGTCTGGCTTTACCAGATTTAATTATGTTAATTTGTGGCCAAGTCTTCTTAATACGACTAAGTATCTCGGGCATGTTGTGAATCAGAAACTAGTAAATATATCTTGTTGCCATTGTAAGATGGAATGTATGGCTTTAGACTGCAAAAGCATATTTCAAAAGGGATGCCCACTAGACACACAGGAAGAGGGTGATTTATTGCATGGTGTGGACTCAATACTAAAAATACAAATATTTTTCCTGTGGGTTTTTTTTACTGTTCCCATAATTAATGTAAGTAAGGAATTCTCTATCTTTGTTGATGAACTCTTGTGCACATCATTGCTAAAACAAGAAGAAAGAAATAATATTTTATTTGGTTGGATAAGACGAAATGATTTAACACTTAAATGTTGGAAAGTATTATGTCAAAACAGGTTATTGGGGTAGAATCCATTCTGACCTTTAAAACTTAGGAGTTGCTATTTTTAAGGGCATTCCTAATCAATGTGTGTTACAGAGCATGGGTGTCCATGAGTAGATATTGGATATGGCATTTCAATTGTGGGGTTGTTTGAAGAAATGTTGCACCTTAATTGTAGACACATAGATGATTGAGCAGTGTGGAATTTTCTGTTCTAACCTGTCATTTGCTTTTGCCAAATTTTTAATATAGTCCTAAGTCTTGTATTTTATTGTCTTTTATTGGCTGTCAACTTTAAGCTTTGAAAAGAAAGCATAAACAATGCAGCAGTGTTGAGGTGGTAATCGGTATCTTCCAACATGTTTGTACATAAATATATGGAACGGTTGATTTAATATTGAAATGAAACATTTTGAGAACTAAGAGACTTTGTGACCTCACAAGATAAGATGGATTATTACTCATTTCTGGAAGTGCATGTTTTTGTATGGTCATATATATGAATATGTGTATATATAGACTTATTTGCTTATCTACAAAATCAGATGGAGAAAATGTGATTTCATATGAGAAGAGCTAAAATGTGTATACTCTATGGAATATTAAAATGTCTTTTTTTTGGTCTGGGGAGAAAAATGCTTTCAAAACAAATACAGGTATCAAATTGACCTGACTTGGTGAACTAATATGAAATAAAAAAAATCCTCCTTTTAAATTATTATCATTTTTGAACAAATAACCACCACAAGTTCGTCTCCTTTCTTCCTTTCTCTTTGAGCAATCAAGTGCTTATTTACTTTGCTGCATTTCCCCACTTTTGACCATCTGGCCGTACTGAATGCCTTGAGGAAAGAGTTGCAGATACCAAGATGTCTGACAAAGCTCTTTTGACTGGTAGTGTTCAGCTCATATTTTGTGCCTGGTGTGAAGTAAGGGTCAGGTGTAAGGAGTATTTCATCAACAGCACACTGATTTCAGGCTGCATTTCAAACCATCTGCAGCTTGGATTGATGCCAGGGCTCAAAAAGTCTTGCTGGAGCTTCAGGAGCCAAAGCAGAGACAAATATGTGCAAATAGAGAAAAATACATTTCTAGGAATGTGGTTGGTATGCACTTAAGTCTTTGGGTTGATAAATTGTAGTATTACCCCTCCCTCTTCAAGTTGCCTGAGCAGCATCCTTTTATTGAAAGGCTTGGATAGTAATGGATTGACCTTTGATTGTAGTAAAATATTTGGATTAATATCTCCCCTTGGCTCAATGCCAGTTGTTTTGAAATGTAATATGAAAGCTTGAAATGTGTTTCTCCTTAAAGTTGGGAGACACACACTTGCTTCTCACTGACTTGTGTAATTTTTGAGTGCTCACCCTCAATAGAATGGGTACAGCCCATTTCAGTCCTCCCGAATGTCCCATTGGTCT